AGATGCAGCCATGCTTTATCCATTAAAGTCCATCAACCACCATCAGGTTGAGTCCAGACTCAGTGGAAGTCTGAATCAGTCTAAGGGCTCAGCACAATAAATTAATTTCAGTTTCCTTTTTTTTTTTTTACATATAAGGCGTGTTTCTGGACAGGAAACTTTAAATAAACTGCTTAAAAAAGGAAACTTTGAACATTGTCTATGAAAAGGTTTGTCAACACTTAATTTAAAAAAAAGGATGTTAGTGGAAACTCAGTCATATTATTTGATTAGAACAAGAAAAACTGACTTAATAATGGTTTAAACTTCTAAACTACCATTGTGTTGACTTTTGCAAACACAGAAAAAATGTATTCATTATGTTTTTATTGAAATGGGAAGCGGAATTGGAGCATAAGTGGTATGAGCCACAGAGGCTAAACAGAAAAGCTTTGTAAGGAAAAATAAGTCCAATTTCAGATTTTTCAAGGATTTTTTCAGTTTAATCCGTAGCAGAAATACAAATTATTTAAGTACACCTTATTGAAGTTTATTGCATAACCCAATACCTAAATGAAGATATGTATCTGTGTTGCTACAACAATGATGAAATACTTACCAGTCTAAAATTGTCTGGACTCCAGGTGCATCAATAGGAAATAAGACACAAAGTGCTTAATCTACCATCTGTTTTGTGATGAAATCTCCACCCTGAAGTTTTGGAGATTTAAAAAAAGGCCATTCAATCTGCCACTTTTTCCACACAATTATCTTGTACTTGATTCCATCACTAGTTAATTGAAGTTAAAGTTTTTACTTTAAACAAATAAAGCGATTAAAATGGAAAATTAACTTAGACTTCAAATAAATCAATGCCTCTGAATGTCACTGAAAATCACAATGACTTGACAGACTGAAGAGATTCAAAAGAATACAGTTCAAATTGAGTTAATTGGGAATGAAATGCCTAACTTATGTTGTTAGTATACTTCCCAACAAGAATGAACAAGAATGATCAAAAGTATAACTTTAAGCCTCAGTTCAAATCTGACAGAGTGAGAGATTGTGGAGTGTTCACAGAGGGGGTTGCAGTGGAAAAATGCCGGGGAGGAGTGTGTGTCTCAGGGACTGGACACGACTCAGAACAGAGGTCAGACCTCATGTTCCCACTGATGGCTTCTTGAAGCAGCTCCGTCAACCTTTGCCTCTTGATTTGTTTTCCTTCAAAAATTCAAAATTTGCGTTTCAATGCAATTTTTAGGAACTATGTTTAGGTCAAGTAGACTGTATTTGTTCACTAAACTGATTTAATCATTTGTAAGATGCAAAATACAACTGTCTACTCCTCATGGGAACGGCAGAATATTCGGTTCTCTTATTGTCTCCAAAGAACACTTCATCTTCAAAATGCTACTCCTCTACAGAGGACCAGCTACAGAATAAGAAAAAGACATTCTCACTCAACTCTCATACAACCTCGCTCCAAGATGAATTACCTGCTAGATGAAAGACTTCTTATACTTCTGGCCACAATGTTACTATCTAACCTTAAACCTGTATCAAGATGATTTTAAACGATTCGCTGTGGGAAAATGTCTCTGATCCCTGCTGACAATTTAGACTTTGCAAGGATTAGTATGTTAAGTGAAATGTAAACTCAAACAAACAAACAAAAAAAGCGATAAAATGTAAAAAAGTTGGTTCTATCAAATGATAGAAATGTATCCTGAGGTCTGAATTATGATTCACTGGTTCATGGCAGTATGTATTTGTTTAGAACGACGGTGAAAAAAGCATTAAGGACCACACGATAGTTTTGTTCTTGCAGGTTTCAGAGAGTGACATGACTTTTAGATTCAGGACTTCTGAGTTACCTGTGTGGTTCACTTCAGTTACCTGTGTGAATGTGAATACTGGCCAAATCAAACGGTCAAATGATAAAAAATCACTTCGGTCTCAGTGGGCTTTAAAGCTTCAAAAATACAACTACAAGCACCTTTCTATAACATCAAAATAAACAGACAAACACACAAAATGATGAATAGGTAAATAAATGGACAAGAAGATAATAGATTTTAATACATAATAATACATTTTTAATATTTAAAGAATCACATATGTATCATATTTCCTAATATCAGTACTTGAACCGTCTTTGTAATGTTCACGGCTTAGTTAAAACATACTTTTATTTTTATGGAAAGTATATGGCCTTAGAAAGCAAATACAGGAGCAGTGTGCAGCATACTGCTGTGGAATAGTAACCAACTCCAAACAAGAACCAACATTTTACACCAACACCTGCTTCTAATCCTAAATTTGACCATCTAAAAATGAACATTTAAGGTAATTTGGGAATGTTTGACATATCTTTTGCATTTATTGTACTCATGTTGTATATATATTCATGCATGTGTTCATCAATGAGCACTAAAGTGAATTTACAATTTTCATTTTCCTAAATATTCTCCTTGCAATGTTTTAATAAATCAATAAAAAGGAAAAAAACCGCTGTAAAATCTGTGAGTGACTGCTGCCGATTGGATCCCACACCCTTTTACTGGAACATGTCGCTGTGGAGAGATGTTTGGGAAGTCAGCCGCGCAGAATCCTCATGCAATTAGCAGCACAGATAACAGACATGTGAGGGGAAGGAAACACAGACACACACACCCCGCTGCTCCTCTGGTAATGTGAGAGGGGAGGATGCTAGCCGTAGCGCATCCCTTAATGCGGACTCCTGTTTCCAGAGGACAGGGTCTGACAGAGCCAGACTCACCATCGATAACCGAAACAACTGTATTTTACACACCAGCCTGACCCAGTCCAGGGGGGCAGGAGACGTGGACCTGTTTAAACCTACCTGGACAGCCTGTCTGGACACGTGAGACACAGGCTTTTACTGTGCAACCAAAGCCATGAGAAAGTGATAATATCCCCCTTAATGCATGTGAAACAATATCTAAAACAGACAATTATGTAAAACACATTATTGTTTTCATTACCTTAAAGAAGAACATGCCTTTAACGAATCACAAATACCATTTAGATTATATTATTTCTAATGTGGAAAAAAACATGAATACTCTTCTAGAATTTCACCATTTCTAGGATCTATAAATGTGTGACATAATCAAAGTATTTGTGCCAAGATGAAGGTGGCAGTAGCTGTAAAAAGTATATTAGATTGTGACAAAACATGAAGAATATTGGTAGTATTTTAACAGTCTGGCAAATTACTCACACCATTCTGTCTTAAGTTGTTAGACTACATTTCCTAGGTCTAATTTTGCCTAATTCATGCTGATTTCAGTTTTTACAGCTCACTCGTCAGTTTATTTGTTCTATACATTTCATCAGGACAATCATACAATCAAAATACCAACATGTGGGTTTAACAATGTACAATTTCAAATTTCACACTAAATAAATATAGTTCAGTCATTGTTTAATAGAAAGTTTTCATGCATTTTTATTATTTTTTTTAATTCTTGTCCTGATTACACAAAATAGTTTAAAATGAGCTAAATTAATTTAGTCAGCCTTTTAAACAAAGATTGAACTTTCTTAGCCATTTGTCAGCAGGAAGAATACCATAAAAGCGGCTAAAAATATCTATATTGTCTGCTTTTATCTGTTAATTAAGTTATTCTGTCAACCTGAAAATGTCACATAAACTAAACTCAAAATATATTAAAAGTAAAAAAGAATGCAATGTATCAAAGGAGCAACCAATTAACTGAAGACAAAAATGAAAGCCTGGACATGAGAATACACATGACATAATACATGATTTTATCATCAACAAAAATTGGATTTAGCAAATCTTGATCTAGATCTATTAATGTATTGAATGTTAATGGCATCTCCCAATACTGCAATGAGGTCGAAACAATATTTTCTCCCTGGACATCCTGAGATCTGTTTGATAGACTATTTTAAAACCATCCCACAGTATGTTGAGATGGTCCTATACTATTTATTCTATTGCTTTAGCAGGGAAATATGTGTTGTCAAAAGATTTTAGACTGAACATTGAAAGAGGTTGGGATTGCAATGCTTGTGTTTGATGTAAAAATAAATTGTTTATCACAGTTAAAGCTCCTGTAGTTGTACTGAACCGCTTTTTAAAGCTCTGTAAAACATTATTAGTAAGTTTCCGATTTGGTAGGAAGTTTTTTTTTGCTCAACCCCTAAACCCTCTCCTTCTAATCACATGATCTGAGCTGCTTTATACAGATTTCTATTTTGCTTTTTGAGGACCAACCCGAAATGAGTAGTGTATTAGCAAGTTTTCCACTTTGGCCACTTATTATGCCTGCAATTTCTTGATGTGCATGTAGCCAGCCCACCAGAGAGCCATTGTTTTTAGACTTAGACTTAGACTTACACTTGTACTTTATTGATCCCTTGGGAAGACTCCCTCAGGAAATTAAAGTTACCAGCAGCTTACGGGGCAAAAAAGTTGCACACAGATTGCAAAATGCAAAAAAATACAAAAAATACAGATTAGGTACAGGTACACACTAAATGTGAATAGCCACAAAAATAAGAATAAAAATACAAAGTAAAAAGTAAAAACACCTAAATAATGCAAAAATAAGCAAAAAATAGGAATATAAATACAACGTGAAAATAAAGACCCTTAAGAAAATCCAGGAGTTTGGCGGATAGATTGACCAATAATACGGTATTCCACTATGTGGTTTGGCCTGATAAATATGGAGTTCCAATTTTACAGAAAAATACAAGCTTTTTATAACAGTTTGAAGGGAATCACATGTCATATGTGGATGCAAATAGAGTTCCTCTCTATGACTCTGGCAGGATAATAACAGTGGCTAACAGAGACTGAATCTATCTCCTTTCATGAAAGGACGATGTGAGAAAATATGTTGGAAACTGGTCAAATTTAACTAAGCACGGCTATTTTCTTTTCTCTGTGTGTTTGCAGGTGTATCTGATGTGCCATGAGCGTTGGGAGCCCCCGCCTCGGCCTCTAGCCCTGGTGCCCCACCAGGATGGACCCACCCCGTTCTCTGAGGATGGAGCTGGACTCGGTGCTGTCCATAGATCAGATCCGCGCCATCCGGGCCAACAACGACTACGTGGACCGGCCCGTGACGCTGGAGCTATCGTCCCAGTCCGGGTTCTTCCACGCCCACGAAGACCGCCACTCCCATCTCGCGTTCGCCTACAACCCGTCCTCGCTGTCCCACAGCCAGAGCCAGCCGCAGCACAGCCACCTGGCCCACCTGAGCCGCTCCAGCACCGCCTGCTCCTCGCTGTCCCGCGCCAGCGCCGCCTCCGACCAGCGGCTGCTGGCCGGCCTGACCCCGTCCCGCTCCCTGGGCTCGGCCGTCCACTCCCAGCCCAAAGGGGAGCTGAAGCCCGACTCCTCCTCGTTGGGGAAAGGCCTGACGGAGGACGAGGCGGAGCTGGGCCTCCACCTCTTCATCTGCGAACACTGCGGGCGCTGCAAATGCCGGGAGTGCGGCGCCCCCCGCGGCCTGCCGTCCTGCTGGGCCTGCGGCCAGCGCTGCCTGTGCTCGGCCGAGAGCGCGGTGGAGCACGCCACCTGCCTGTGCTGCGTCAAGGGCCTGTTCTACCACTGCTCCTCCCAGGACGACGAGGACCAGTGCGCCGACCGGCCCTGCTCCTGCGCCGCCGCCCACGCCGGCGCCCGCTGGGGCGCCATGGGCCTGCTGGCGCTCTGCCTGCCCTGCCTCTGCTGCTACCCCCCCGCCCGGCTCTGCCTGAGCCTGTGCCGCCGCGCCCACGACCGCGCCACCCGGCCCGGCTGCCGGTGCAGCAACACCAACACGGTGTGCCGCAAGATCTCCGTCACCACCCCCAACCCCCGCCAGCCCGCGCTAGCTAGCAAAGCTCCGGAGAAACCCTTATGACAGGCTTAGTCCGGACCGTTTCCTCCTCAGCCGTGGCCAAAGTTACTCTGATCAACAGCGGGAAATGGAACGAGCCATTGGGACTTCAGTCCAACCACCGTGTTGCTCACCTAACATATATCTTGAATTTACTCTCTGGCTCAGGACGGACCGAAGCTTTACTTTGCCCACTCGTTTTGGAATCCCGATACCTAAATTCTTATTGAAAATGACCGTTCCGCTGTGCTTGCTGGACAGCCTTTCAACCATAACCAAGAATCCCAGACAGAGACGACATCTCTTCTTCATGTGATGTAATCTTGACGCGATAAGCTATATTTATTTATTGTTGAACCTCCTTCCTTGCCACCCTTTACACAGAGATCGTACTGAGAAGAGAGGGGGGGTGATGGACCGAATCGGGAAGGAAAGACGCCTGTTTCCATGTATATGATCCAAACCAACAATTTTATCCCTCCAGTTTGATGCTGAGGGTCAAAAGACAAAGACGTTCCGAGAACTGAACCAATTGTTGAAGATTTATGAACTAATGAACATGGGCGCTGATGTTATGCTGATGTTAAACCAAAAAAAGGGACCATCTACTTTACAAAAACTGAGAGAACTTCAATGCTATTAAGCTAATTTGTAATGAAAAGCATTGTGAGGTGGGTGGAGACTGTTGTCCCCGCCCACCGTGAGCAGAAAGGGTATTATTTAACCAGAGAAGATGCATCCATTGTGACTCGGCAGTGTGCGTGTGTCTGTGTGTATCCATACTGTCGAACAACTCGTGTATGTGGAACCTCTGTGTATGCTGTTTTGTCAGCAGAAGAAGCCTCCTTTGTCTTATTTTTAGCAGGGCTGTTTGTGGAGCTCCAAAGGTCTGGTCAGATTTCCACTCAATGTCAGTCTGTCGCCAGCCTGCATCCTCTTCCTTAACTCCGCATCCTTTTATCCTCTTTTCTCCATCCATCTGGACATGCTCTTTTACAAATGCAAGCAATCCCAATCGTTGTGAAGAAGTTATCGCCGTGTGTTAGTTTCCCTCTTAAAAAAACATGTTTAAAAAATGAGTGTGCAACATGGAAAACATTTGAATGTCATACACAGCCTTTGCAGTTTACAAAGAGCAAGAGGTCAAGCACACAATCCATCTTTGGCGTCTCGGTCAAGTTTTTTGTGGGTGCATTGACCCACAAGCTTGCTTTTTTTTTTTTTGAATTCCCAAAGGATTGCTGAAGGGAGCCAGGCATGCCTTTGTCTTTTTTTTCTCACAACTAAATAAAAACCATCCATAAAGTAAAGAAGAAAGATTAACTTTATGTCCATTGTCATGTCTCTTGTTTTTTTAAAGCCAACAAATTGCACTGTAATAAAACAGCCTGATGCGTGGGGTCGACAACAAAAGGCCTTTTGCTCCACACCCTTACTGTATCTCACTCCTGCTTTGTCTGTCTTCCCACAGAGCTCACAGAGCTAAAAGTCTCTAGTTTCAGCTCCGCAGAGAGTTGATCAAACAGGCAATTAGCTTAATGATAGCTCTTAATGGGCCAGAGAAGACCGGAGTGAAAGGGGGAGGGGGAGAAAAGATAGAACGAGAAGATGTGTGGTGTTTGGCAAATGGAAAGCATGGCAGATATAATGACAGATGCAGGATGAGAGGAATTTAAGAGGAACCATCGCTTGCTACAGTTGACATTAGATGAGCTCATATATGTCTGGAGAATGAACACTGTGTTATTCGTTTAGCTAAATACCGCACAATCTTTTACGTTCATCAAGCACAAAAGTTTTACGCAATGTATACAAAGCAGATGAACACAACACTCACACTGTTGTGCAGAACTGAATGAGGGTGACATGCAGGTATACATGTGTGTTTTCATGTTTGGATGCATGCAGGCTGGCCTGCGTCTGTTTGTCTGTGTGTGTGCGCATGTGTGTGTGTGTGTGTTTGTAGGATGCAACCTACAATGATGCAACATCTACACTTTTTGTTTGCTATATTTGTATATGTAGACATGGGCTTTATTTTTTACTCTTCTTTATTTTATCTCTATGATACAGAGGCTATTACTCGTGATGTCCGACATTGTGAACACACTTTTCAACACAAACCAAGAATTTCAGTATAATTCAATGTAAACTAAACAAATGAACCAGTCTTTTTGGCTGTATTTAGTATTTACAAAAGATACATCGCTGGGGACAAATGACCAAAACACAGAGGTGAACATTTAAAAAACAAAAGTGATATAATGGCCTATGTGATTCCATATAAAAGTAACTCTTGGTATTCGTGTGATTTAAAGAGGTTAAATTATTATTATTATTATTTTTTAATTTGTTTAAAATATAAAATAATCTTGAATGATATGTATCTTCCAGACCCAATTCCTGACCCCAGTTCTGTGTAGCTGCATTTACAAATCTCTGACCCGTCCATCACCGTCCCGTCTGGACACGTCATTTACAAGTTTGTATCTTTCAGAAAGTGCCACTATACCCGCTCAGTTTCCCTTGTCTCCTAGTAAACATTGCTTTTGGTACAAATTGGAATCTTTTATGTTGCAAAATGATTTTAGGAGTTTGTGGAACAAATATACATGAAAGCATATTTAAAATGAAATACTATATACTGAATATATATTTCAAACTTGATTTCATTGCAGTACTTGCCTCATTAGCGTTTATTTAACCATTTGAAAAAATATGGGTAACTAAAATCATGAAGATTAGAAAGTATTGATTAAGATCTTGCTACGTGTATTTTGCCACATAATTTTGTTTTTCAGGCATATTATAACTCAACATCTATGTTAATCTTTTCTTAATATGTTTTAATAGGACCCAAACTTTATTGATTTGGTATGATCTTTTAAAGACCAGACTTCCAGGAAAAAAATCATACAGTACCACTGACTTCTAAATTAAGATAAAACAGATACTTTATTTTGTTGATGATACAAGCAATTCCAATATCAGCTTCAGAGAGACATGACTGAGATCTGGATGAAGTCAAACATCAGTTTGCACCCTTTAGTGCTCTACTTATCCGATTTAACACTATTTAGCTCATAAATTAATAGTTAAAGCTTGTCAAGTCCAAAGACTTCAAAAATAGTGAATATATATGTGAGTGAATGTGACCCAAAAAAGAGAACAAGAGTATGAGAGATAAACCAATGCGTTTAGTTTGTATATTTGTGCCTGTGTATTTTGTCCCTCCTTTGCGAATAAAGAAAATAACCTTTATATTTATTATATCAAAGTGCACTGCAGAGTTCTTAACATCTTCCACTTTACGCACAAAGACCATCCCCCAACACATTCATTTCTACACATACAGACAAAGTATGTATAGAACTTATATATCATTTCCAAAATTGAAACACATACACGTCTGCTGTCAGGTGTAATTAAAAAATCTGAATAATGCATGACTGTTTTCCTCTAGAGGCTTTTACAAATAAACCCTTTTTTAAGATCTGAGCCATGCCATCTGAGGTTTTCCCTGTTTTTGGTTTTCTTGTGGCTTTGGAATATACCAGCTGCAGGTTAACACCTGCCAAAATCTTTCACAATTGTGGGTTATTTCTTGTCAAGTTGTGTTTCTTTTGCTTAAGTGTCATGATAAGAAACCCACAGCTAGAGGAGTCAGGGGCCCTGCAGCTGAAACGATGTGAACCAGGAGATGGAGAGGCGGGGGGGAAATCCCCAAGGGCCATAAAGGAACCTTCCATTTAGCCCCGCCCCCGAACGCCATAAAAAATGACAACAGAGTCAAAGAGGGACATTAAAAAGTTCTGTCATTGAAAAAAAGAGAGCATCCCAGTCTGTCCCCTCCAAACATCCCTCATTTACAGGACTGTCTCAGAAAATGAGAATATTGTGATAAAGTTCTTTATTTTCTGTAATGCAATTAAAAATCATGAAATGTCATACATTCTGGATTCATTACAAATCAACTGAAATATCGCAAGCCTTTTATTGTTTTAATATCGCTGATTATGGCGTACAGCTGAAGAAAACTCAGAAATCCGATGTTGTAATATTTTGAGATAGGATATTTGGGTTTCTTAAGCTGTAAGCCATAATCAGCGATATTAAAACAATAAAAGGCTTGCGATATTTCAGTTGATTTGTGTTGAATCCAGAATGTATGACATTTCATGATTTTTAATTGCATTACAGAAAATAAAGAACTTTATCACAATATTCTCATTTTCTGAGACAGTCCTGTAGTTCACCGGTGATCTTATGCTCCCCGTAGAAATGGAAGGAAGACACGGCCTGTATCTCCTCTGCCTTTGCCACCGTCTTCTCTACTTCCTCGGCAGCTCTCGGGGGATTTCATGTCTCTCCCGCTGTGTCAGAGCTCCATCAGCCCGTCCCCTGGATAAACCTAAACCAGGATCTGACTCCACCAGGACCGGAAACGCGCTGAGTCACATGATTCAGCGGGTGATAGCTTATTCCTGACTTTATTTAGGTTAACAGACACATAAATTAAATATAGGGTTAAAAAAATGGCCTCTTGCACAGATGTGAGAGGCTGGGAATGCTGTCATCGAAGGTCAGAGGCTTTAATGTACTTCCTGTTTCTGTTGCCAGAGGGACACATTTCCTTTCCCTGTGGTCTGGGATTCACATTGATCTATTCCTCCCCCACATCTCTGTCCATCTCCCATCCTGTTGTGTTGTGCTATTGCATGAAAACGACACAAGAGGGAGCTATGAGTGGAAATGGAAAAAGGTGCTGCCTGTGAGGAGAAAAAAAAGGAAAAATGGGGAACCTGAGAGGTTTGCTACTGCTGTTGCTGCGCAAAAGGAACACTTTGTGCAGAAGGGGAACGTTTTTTTCAAAGTTTGAGTAAGAGAACAGAGAACGAATGAGGCAGTAAACCAATTCTCAGCTTATCTACAAGAGTTAGCTGCTGCTGATCGCTGTTCCTGCTTCTGTTGTAGATCTTCCAACCACCTTGTTCACAAACTTAAAATGACCTGCATGAGTGTGC